AATACGTATCACATTGTTTCGGTCCAATTGCCATGATATGATCAACAATTTCTGACCCCATCAACTGTACTTCTCTAAACCGATGACATTCCCGGAAATCGACATAATCTTCATCACAATCCAATCCACCACACCATTTTAACATAAGAAATAACAACTTACCATGAGGGTATACATCTTTAATTTCCGTAAGAATGTCAATTGCCCTTAGAAGTTCTGAATCATGGAATGCTAGATGCAAGCATTCAACATAAAGAGCGTAGGGGTTTCTGAGATTAAAGCACTTACGAAACAATGGATAATACCAGGAAATCGGATCAGACCACCAGACGAAGTCACCATTTTTTTCCAATCGTACCTTCGATAGAGTCTCAACAGAAAGGGCAGCGTCAATCCCCTCGGGTCGGACCAATAACAGATTTTTAGACGGGTATCTATATCAGCGGGTAAGGGCGCGGGCAATTGCAGAGAATTAGCAATCGGTTCCATCGCAAGATCTTCTTTGCTGGTCTAAGGAAAATGAAAAATTGTCAAATTCAGATACCTGAAGACGAAGGTATGCGAATCAGTTAATCTCAGGTTCACGAATTAGGGTATCACTGAGGCGAAAGACTCACCTAAACGACGTAGTTTACAGTAAAATATTGGTATTCCTTAGAAAATTGAGTTTTTTACAAACTGATTCAAACTGTTTCAAATCTATTGTTTTTAAAAAGTTAAATATAACTACAGACTGATTCAAACACTTCGAACAAACGATATCCACCCAATGACATCCACTGGCTTGCATCCACGAAAAACATAGTCTGTACAAATCGATATAATCATATACAGCATCAGCTAAACAAACGGTTTAATTGTACACAGTAACTGTGGATAACATAAGGTGTTCAACTCCTTGTCAAACATTATACATTGATAGTGTATGTCTTAAGAAAAACAACAAAAGAGGGTACATTCCTAAAAGAGAGCCTTATCACGAACACATGATCAACTAGTACCAAAAAAATCTTAAACTTAGCAGACAAAACACGTAGGTGATCAACATAGTTTTGACAAAACAACACATCCATAATCTATGGGAGAAAGAAGTTCAGCCATGCAATCTGCTAAGGGAAGTACAGGGGAAGGACAAGCTCTTTGTATATGTTCATCGCGTATGCCTTTCTAACCTCATTAACTTTCACATCTGTCAGGTTGGTGATTTCATCGTTGTGTGCACCATTAGCATACAACTCCAACAGCTTCATCGCTAGTGGCCCACAATCCCTAGAACGTATGTTTTTGTAGTGGCCTTTTGCACGCTGTAACACAAACGGCTTGTACCCGTGTCACTGGGTTCCGTGTTCACTACATAGTTTCCTTATCATGTAAGGCAACATTACCAAGATGGGTTCCAGTTCGTTACTAACCTGCTTATAACTGTATAAGTTATC